CCCAGCACGGCAGCGTCATGGGCATCGACAACATCTGCGAGCTGGCCGCCCGCCTCCTCTTCAGCACCGTGGAGTGGGCCCGGAACATTCCGTTCTTCCCGGAGCTGCCCGTGTCGGACCAGGTGGCGCTGCTGCGGCTGAGCTGGAGCGAGCTGTTCGTGCTGAACGCGGCGCAGTCGGCGCTGCCCCTGCACATGGCGCCGCTGCTGGCGGCCGCCGGCTTCCACGCCTCGCCCATGTCGGCCGACAGGGTGGTGGCTTTCATGGATCAGATCCGGGTCTTCCAGGAGCAGGTGGACAAGCTCAACCGGCTGCAGGTGGACTCGGCCGAGTACAGCTGCCTCAAGGCCATCGCGCTCTTCACGCCGGGTATGGCGGTGGGGAGGGGTTTTTTGGGGGTTTTGGGGTGTGGAGGGAAGGGGTTTTGGGGGTTTTTGAGGGGTTTTTTTAGGAGTTTGAGGGGGTTTTTGGGGTGAGGAGGGAAGGGGTTTTTCTGGGTTTTTCGGGTTTTTCTGGATTTTTGGTTTTTTTTTCTGGGGTTATCTGCGTTTTTCTGGGTTCTTGTGGGTTTTTCTGTTTTTTTATCTGGGAGTTTGAGGGGTTTTGGGGTGAGGAGGGAAGGGTTTTGTGGTTTTTTTCTTTTTTTTTCTGCGGGTTTTTCTGGGTTTTCCTGGGTTTTTCGGGCCATGCCCTATACATTTTGCACCAATCTCTATAAATTTCAGGCCATCCCCTATAAAATTCGGGCCATCCCCTATAAATTTCAGTCCAATCTCTATAAATTTTGGGCCATCCCCTCTAAATTTTGGGCCAACCCCTATAAATTTCAGGCCATCCCCTATAAATTTCGGGCCAATCTCTATAAACTTGGGGCCATCCCCTATAAACTTTGGGCCAATCTCTATAAATTTCAGGCCAATCTCTATAAATTTTGGTCCATCCCCTATAAACTTTGGGCCAACCCCTATAAATTTCAGGCCATCCCTGCTAAATTTTGGGCCAAACTCTATAAATTTCAGACCATCCCCTCTAAATTTCGGGCCAATCTCTATAAATTTTGGGCCAATCTCTATAAATTTCAGGCCATCCCCTCTAAATTTTGGGCCAATCTCTATAAATTTTGGACCATCCCCTCTAAATTTCAGGCCATCCCCTATAAACTTCGGGCCAATCTCTCTAAATTTTGGGCCATCCCCTATAAATTTTGGACCATCCCCTCTAAACTTCGGGCCATCCCCTCTAAATTTCAGGCCAATCTCTATAAATTTTGGTCCATCCCCTATAAACTTTGGGCCAACCCCTATAAATTTCAGGCCATCCCCTCTAAATTTTGGGCCAATCTCTATAAATTTCAGACCACCCCCTCTAAACTTTGGGTCCACCCCCTCTAAACTTTGGGTCCACCCCCTCTGCACTTGGGGTCCACCCCCTCTAGATTTCACAGACGGATCTTTAGGATGTTCCCCGCGGATTTCCCGCGTCTCTCCCTCCGCAGACGCCTGCGGGCTGTCGGACGCGTCGCACGTGGAGGCGCTGCAGGAGAAGGCGCAGGTGGCCCTGACCGAGTACGAGCGCTCGCAATTCCCGGCGCAGCCGCAGCGATTCGGGCGCCTCCTGCTGCGGCTGCCGGCGCTGCGGGCCGTGCCCGCCTCGCTCATCTCCCAGCTCTTCTTCATGCGCCTGGTGGGGAAAACGCCCATCGAGACCCTGATCCGGGACATGCTCCTGTCCGGCAGCACCTTCAACTGGCCCTACGGGGCCGGGCAGTAGGGTGGGCACGGACGGCGGGTCGGGAACGGCGGACTGGGATTGGCAAGGAATGGGTTATTGGGAGTTGGATGGAGCGCTGGACTGGAATGGTGCCGGGAAGAACAGACTGGGAATCGGCCAGGAATGGTTTGTCGGGAGTTGGGTGGAGTGCTGGACTGGAACGGCGCCGGGAATAACAAACTGGGAATTGGCCAGGAATGGTTTATTGGGAATTGGATGGAATGGCGCCGGGAATGGCGGACTGGGAATTGGCCAGGAATGGTTTATCAGGAATTGGGTGGAATGCTGGACTGGAATGGTGCCAGGAATAACAAACTGGGAATTGGCCAGGAATGGTTTATCAGGAATTGGATGGAATGGCGCCGGGAATGGAGGACTGGGAATTGGCCGGGAATGGTTTCTCGGGAATTGGATGGAATGGCGCCGGGAATAACAAACTGAGAATTGGCCAAGAATGGTTTATCAGGAATTGGATGGAATGCTGGACTGGAACGGTGCCAGGAATGGCACTGGGAATAATGGACTGAGATTGGCCAGGAATGGGTTATCGGGAGTTGGATGGACTGGCACTGGGAATAACAAACTGGGAATTGGCCAAGAATGGTTTATCAGGAATTGGATGGAATGGCACCGGGAATAAGGGACTGGGAATTGGCCAGGAATGGTTTATCAGGAATTGGATGGAATGCTGGACTGGAATGGTGCCAAAAATGCCAGATTGGAAATGGTGGACTGGGAATAACGGACTGGGATTGGCCAGGAATGGGTTACTGGGAGTTGGATGTAATGGCGCCGGGAATGGTGCCGGGAATAACAAACTGGGAATTGGCCAAAAAATTGTTTATTGGGA